CTCTATCCTTATCTCTCTCCCTCTCACACTTTCACTTCCACTCTCTCGTACGTTATATTTTTCTTTTTATATTTCAATTTGAAATAAGTATTATATATGTTAACCGCAAGCGGAAAGACAAATAATAATTCTTTGAAATTAGTAACGTCCGTAATATCTTCACCTTGTCGTCACGTGCTAACTTTGAGTTAAAACGAGGGAAACGAAAATAATACCACGAACTGCTAAAGGTAGAAAGAAAGAGATTAAAACAAAAAGAAATAAAGAAAGAATAAAAGAAAGAAAAGAAATAAGAGTAGAAAGAGTGGGAGGCTCGTGAGTATGCCTGAAAAAGGAGGAGGATGAGAAAAAGGTGGATGAGAAAAAGAAGGGGAATGAAAGATGCCGTAAAGTCGTCAAAAGTTTTCAGAATCGGACATAACTTTCTACAGTCGGAGAAGACCTCTCTCTTTTTTCCTTTCTCTCTCTCTCTCTTTCTCTCTCTATTCTTCCATATAACGAGAATACAATCCCTTCCGTTTGTTTTTGCGATGTCTGCCCTTTATCCCTTCCATTCCTACTCTCCCTATTCCTCCCTCTATCTATCTTTCTTTCTTTCTTTTTTTTTCTTTTTCCATCTTTCCTTTTTCACTCTTTTACTTTACTCTAATCTCTTATTTATACTGAAAGTAGAATTATATATTTATGCATTTAAAACGTACGCATAAGAGAAGATAGGTTTTGTTATTATTTATAATATACATTGTAATCATTTTATGTGTTTTCACTTTTTTCGTTCTCCCCCGTCCTCTCCTATTTTTCTTATGTTTTTTTAAACATTTATGGATAGTAAAAAAAAAAAAAAAAGTAAAAATATCGCAGATGGTTCTATCCGATTGTTTCAAATTTTCCTAATTTTCCGCTTACGTGCTTTAAAACGTTTGTATGTGTTACCCGTGTTAATATGAGCGTGTATATATATACGAAAGAAAGAGAGCGAGAGAAGAAGAGAGGAGAGACCAAGATCATTAGTTAAAAACGTCAAAGACAACGACCGAGAATTTACCCTTTCTCGTCTCTTCCCCTTCATTTTAAGCCCTTGGCTGGTCTCTCACATCAGTACAGTTAGTTGCACTTCGCACAATTTGTTTTCGCCAAGCGAAATTACAAGGAATCGAGGAGAAGAAAACTAGAGTTTGAGGGGGGAACGGAGGGAGGGGGAAGAATGGGCAGGGGAGTGGTGGTGCGGGGCGGCGAGGATACCCATTTTCGAAAAAGCTTTAATTTATTTGTTATTCTTTTTTTTTTTAATATATATATATATATTTATATATATTATATTTTATTAATTATTATTGTTATTATAGATTTATTTTTGAATCGAAGGAAAAAATATATTATTGAGATAATATGAGAGAAGTAAGAAAGTAATAATATTCGATTAAATTGATGTGATATCTGCAACAAAATCCAT